CGTATACTTGTGTAAATCATCTAAGATTTTATCATTCTCTGGGTAAATTGTCAAAGAATACGAATGAAATCTTTAAAAGCAAACATTTGAATCTTTGCTAACGGGCGTCATTAATTGTACATTCTTTCTTTGCCTCTATAATTGATGTTATTTCATCATATGTATATGTACCATCTGAATCGTCTTTCTTTCTGTTGTTATCTAGGTTGTCAGATTGAAAATTCGAAAATCAGAAAGTGGTTTTTTAATGCTTGAGTACCTAATATATTTTTCCACTAACACAATATGCCTTATCCTGTCTCTGTTAATTTGTCAAGTGCTACCTTACAAGATATTTCATACAAAGAAAAAGGACAAAAACACTCATATACATATACAGTCCAGTCTTTATGAGAAAAACTACATCAATGATTGAGTCTCGAACTAATTCTTTTTTCAAAAAACATAGGGTTAACTTCACATAAAGATAGAAGCAAACGTATAAAATGCATATGTACACATACATTCCATAAAAGTTTTGTGAAAAGACTATAGTTCAATCGGTATCGTGACGATTGTTTATTTATTCATATTTTTCATTAGCTCAAATTTTCTTCAGTAATTCACGTTGAGACAAAAGATATTTATAAAAATGTTCTCAAGGATAATCAGAGTTCTTTCCAATTTGCAATTCGGCAACAACTGTAATTTGATATCCACGAGATTACGATATTCAGACCATAAATTTTTTTATGACTCATTATTGTTTCAACATAAACATTTGTACATTGAATTGCAAATATCTAACAAATAGTTTTTTCCTATTTGGTGTTGAATTTTGAACTGATACTTAACAAAGAAGACCACAATTAATTAGATCGTATATACTTATTTTTATTCTGGTTTTTAAGTATTAAATCAACTTCTTCATCATCTTGTTATCATTTTAATTAAGTTGATAATCATTTATTGTTGATACTGAAGCATAACCTTTCTTACTTGACATACATGATTTAATTGGATCACTTAATTCAAGATTTTCCTTTGCTAAATTATCATGCAATAACTTAACCCTTTACCCCCCAATGGGTCATATATGACCCATTTGTAGCACGATCACAGAAAACAAAGGAAGCATGAGACTGAAAAACTCCCAAGATATTATTTGTGGGGAACATCACAAGCTATCAATTGGTAAAAAATATATTTTGTTTCATTCCCCTAACTTCGAGACATATGACTTACAAAAGCGATAATTTTGAAAAAAAAATGCAAAAATTCGAAATTTTTTAAACAAAATGTTTCCTACTTGCAGTCAATAGGGATCTTTTGGAATTTCTATGTGATATTAATCGATGAAGAAGTCCACTGCTAAATTAGATATATTTCGAAAGCTTCATGATAACTTCGCGAATTATACATACTAAGCAACACAATTGACCATGTAATCACTGTTAGACAGATGGACGATAATCAAGAACAAAGTTAATATATGCGTGATAGACCTCAACTTATGAGAAGTCGAAATAGTATTTATGATGAATTAAATTTCTTCAGACGTTACAAAATGGATCAGAGCAAACTAGGCTTAAATTTGACTATAGATGTTAAAAACCATGCATTCTTTGATGTTAATCTTTATCGGTGTGCTCGTTGGATTTTTCCTATCACTTCAACAGTACGAGATAGATGCTGCATCTGTCCAGTCAATAATATGATCTAAGAAAAAAAATTAAGTCTGATAATGTCGTTCAATTCCCATTTTCAATCACATGATTTTTACATCACTCAAACCGCCCAATTCCAGGAACAGAACATTTGGTGGATTAGACCACACCATTGGCATATTCAACAGGCTAATACTCTATTTATAAAGTTATTTTATCAGTGGCACTTCTGGAACCGCTATGGGGGTAAAGGGTTAATTTCATAATATTTACTCTATGATTCATCTTTATCCAAATTATTCATTTTAATTAAGCTAGTAATATTTATAAGATATTCCAATACAAGAAATCCTATTCACTGATAATTGCAAAGTGATTCTTTATCGTAAAATTGTCTGCCATCATCATCATAATAAAATTCAATGAATTCAATAACTATTTTAATAAATGATTCGAATGATCGTTCCAAGTTTTCAGCTTTAATTTCATCGATTTATTGTAACTGTTTTAATATTACAGGTGTATTATTTCTAATGTATTAGTTATGTAATCTTTGTTGTAGTCTTTGAATCAAGTCAGTAATTATTCGAAGAAGATCAGCGACTATTTTCTGTGTGTGTTGCAATTGTAATTTAGTTGTTTGAATTTTATTTAATACGTTTTGTAAAAAATTCAAAACCTATGAACCATTATTTTCCATCAAAACAAGATTTTAAAAGTTGTTGACTTTTTTGTTTGTTCATTTAAAAGGTACAATTTGATTAGTTCATATTTGTTGAGCAAACATTCAATCGAACGCAATAAGTGTCCCTATCTTGTATCAATATGTTTTAACAAATTCTAAAAAACATATCCATCAAGCTTCTATGAATTCGTATCTTCTCTACTTTTTCAAGCTTTTTTACAAAATGACTTTCACTATATTCGGATTTGAGAAATCCTAATACGATTTTAATTCTTCTGCTCTTTTAGCTGATTTTGAAAAATGTGAATAAATATTATACAAAATAACTTCAATATCAGTTGGTAAAATATCATGTTCATGTTTAACTTCATTGTGTAATATATGTTCATAACAATTTCTTAGAATTAAATAAAGCAAAAATACAGTTTGAACTAAGTTATATTAAAATCAGTCTGTAATCAGCATTTAAGTCTACCTTTGACAACATGTAGCAATTCATCATCAAATATTTTAAATACGGAATGTTGTTTATCCAAATGCACATTAATATTATTAGTACCATATAATTCGAAGCGAATAGGTGGTTAAAGGTCGAAAGGAAAAATGTCGAAAGAGAAAATGTCGAAAGGCAAAATGTCAAAAGCAGATTGTCGAAAATCTAAATCCTTTTTGGTCACAGATTTCGCCCTCACCCTCACTGTTGTGCTCTGTGAATGTGTACCGTATTACATTCTATTGGTCAAATCTTAGAAAAAGTTTTTCATCAAGGATTTACAAAGATTTACAGGGGTTCATAATTTTCGACATTTTGCTTTTCTACATTTTTTTTTCTACATTTTCACTTTCTACATTTTCCTTTCGACATTTTGACACTTTACCATTCGAAGCTACTGCAGTTGGAAGTAAATAAGTAATAAAAGAGTATAAGACTGCAACAAAGAACATATTTTATTTTCAACGAAAATTACGATTTTATTTCGAGCTTTCGATAATTTACAATTATCATCATCAGGAAACGACTAACGAAAAGCAGAACAACTGTTATAATATATACATATGATTAACATCAAAGGATAACACATTACAATATTGTTAAATGAAAAGACATATTATAATAATTCGAATTATTATAGGGTGTGGGTGTAGGTGTGTGGGTGTGGGGTGTGGGTGGGTGTGGGTGTGGGTCATGTTTATAATTTATTTCAGACTCACATCCACGTCCACTCACACCCACATTCACACCCTCACCCTCACTCCACCCACACCCACACCTACCCACACACCCACATCCACACCCACATCCACACTCACACCCACATCCACACCCACACAACCCACACCAACACACCCACATCTACCCATGGAACTTGTATTGAGAAGATTATGGAAGGTGGCGCGTGTGGGTAGCGTGTGAACATCGGTAAGTGTGAGTGTGGCAGAATTCTGCACTATATATGCGCATATATAATCATGCAGATGTAAATTCAAATCAACTAAACTCTCTTTGAAGTTTTGTTTTTCCAGAAAAACTCAAATAGGATTCTGTGTCACTCTTGGAATGTTATATGACCCTACACAATTATTCCTGTATCCAAATCAAAATCTTGCTTGATATGTTGTTTGTTCTTTATGACAAACATTGATATTATTTGGATTGATAATTTTTTTATGTATGCGGAACATCAGCACAATTCAAATCATTATATTAGTTTTTCATGACACACATAAACATATTCAAAATGTAAAATTTAGGAAAACACATAACTTACATCGATTGCGAACATTTATTTCTCATACAAAAACGACTGAATTCAAATTGTTAAACTCAATTGTAAGTCAATTTTTGACTGAGAATATTCAAAATAATACTATAAAATTGTTTCAAAAACAGTCAGTTTAAAATAAAATGATATTGAATATTTAGTTGAATTAAATTAAATTCGTCAGCAAATTCATGAAAACATTATAATTATGCTTATGTTCGTCATGAAAAAGAATATATTGATGTTTATTATATTCATTTTTTGCAGTTGAATTTTGCTGGAATAACAAAATTCTAAATTTTACTTGTGGAGAACTCTGCCTGTTCTCTCAATAAGAAAATTAGAATATATTGGAAAAAATTTGATGTATTTTTTAATTAATATAAATCATGCAAATTGGTGGAAATTATTTTGTATTTGTGTAATGGGTAATAAATTTCCAACGTTTCTACTATCTTATATTATTCATAATCAAAAACGAAATACATAAGTATTTTTCTTTCATTCTTCAATATGACACCTGTTTCTTCGTTTTGACCTTTATCCATTCTCTTCCTTTCTTTTTATTTTGCTTAAAAGTAATGCAGATGCACATTATATGGTAAAAAATCAAGTAAAGATGATTCATCAAGTCCATCGTAGTATATTATTAAAAATCTTGATCATAATAATTACCTTAAGTCTTTTTTTTGTTGGCTGAAAATATACAAATTTCACTCAAGATTCATATACAAGAAAATAAGTAGTATATAATTTGTTTATACCTTTTCTCTGATATGAATCATTCAATGGGTTTTTTCTCGTCACATTTTTCCTTTCTCTTTCGTGCATTCTCTTGAAGCAGGCATGCAGTTGCACCCCTTATGTAAATTTATTTATATTTGTTTCAGAATTCTAAATTTATATATGGAGCAAGTAAAGCGTCAACAAAATAATTTGTTTGATAATTATGATGATAGCAAGAGAAAAAAGATAGCAAGTAAAAGTCACGATTGGTGAGTCACCAGAATATATTCTTCAATCTAAATTTTGTTTTCTTTTTTTACAGTTTATCGAGAGAAACTATTACAAATTTTGAAGTTCTTTCTAATGAACTTATTTATGAGGTATTTGAATTTCTCGATTATTTTCATATATATAAGGCTTTTTTCAATCTTAACATACGATTTCGCAATCTTCTTACAAATTCAAGTCTTCCTATTAAAGTCAATATTTCATCCATATCTAAATCAGCTTATCAACAATATTATACAGATATTATCAGGACCAATGCCTATCGAATTAATTCACTTCGATTATCAAATTTATTTATTTATGGTCTTACATCGTCACCAATTCAAATTCTATCAAAATTTCTTCAACTTGAAAGACTGATTCTTGATAATATTGAATCAGAATATTTGAAAAAACTTCTTCATTCATTAAAATCTTTGTCTATGCTCTCTTCATTGACTATTACTTCACTTGATAGTATTAAAAATAAGAATGCTATCTATCATCAAATATTTTGTCTACCTGCTTTGAAATATTGCAAGGTGTCCTTGGAAGGATATTCTAACAATGATGATCCATTACCATCAATTACTAATGATTACAGTCCAATCGAACATCTAGTCATCAACGATGATATGTACTTGGACGAACTTAATTGCTTGACATCATATGTTCCTCAACTTCGTCGTTTTTCAATTCAACTACGACCAGAATATTGGAAACAACGGACAAAAATACGTCCACCTACATTAAATCATTTGACACATGTTTTTCTCAAAATGAATTACGTAAATTTTAATCAATTCGAACAATTAGTCATTGATCTTTTCGCTACAATTCAATTTTTACGCATTTCAATAACATATAATGGTGATATGGAATATATGAATAATAAAAGGTGGGAACAACTGATATTATCTCATATGCCGAATTTACGTATATTTGACATCCGATATGAACGTTGCCTTTATAATATACCTCCTGATGATAATAATCAGTTGACATTAGATAGTTACATCAATCAGTTTACAACTCCATTTTGGATTGAACGACAATGGTTTTTTGCACTTCGGTATTACCAAGAAAGATACTCAAATCGGACAATATTCTATTCAACAGATCCATATAGGTATCAATAGATTAGATTTTTTGTTATAGTATGTTTACACTGTTTTTATTTCTTAGAAGAAAAAGTTATACATTATCACAGACATCAAATCAAAAAACTTGTTTAAACTCTTCCGAAACTAATCTTAGAAAAGTTCGTCATGTTCGAATTCAATGTGAAAAAGAACTGATCAATTGGGTAAATTATTTTCCAAATGCTACGGAACTTACTTTTGAAAGTGGTTTTTCTACTACTCATGAATCAATTGCAAATATGCTCAGACGTATTATTCCATTGGAACAACTGTCTATACTAGTTCTTGAATGTCACTATTTTTCTTTTATCAAATTAATTGAATTATTACGCTTTATTCCCAATATTGATACATTGATATTTAAATCTATGCCTTTTTACAGAAACAATTGTATATCAATTCAACAAACTGAAACTTTTCGATTAGTCTCCAATAAAAATAGGATTACAAATGTGACTTTTAAAGAAGTTTGCACATTAGAAAAGCTTCGATTGCTTGTTGCCTTGTGTCCTCGATTACAAAGTCTTACAATAAAAATACATATGAAGGATTTAGAATCAATAACACGATTTCTATTGGAAAATAATACTAGAGAGAATACTGATCATTTATGTTCGTTATGTTTTTCAGCAGCATCAACTAAGTGGTTCGAAAAATTGGATATATTGATTAAATCAGAGATACTTCTTCATGTTTATAACTTAAAACTCGTCGGTTCGAATTTATATTTATGGTGGTAATGTTTACATATATCAACGACATATCTTATTCTTGACTATTAATTTTAAATAAATAATATGCTCAACGTTGTTACATAGTTGTTGCCATGTATATATCATCGATAGAACTACCTATCAAAAACTATGACGACTTTAAAAAGATTTTGCATCAAAGAAAACAATTTATCATAAACTATTTTAATCTGATAGTAGAAAACACAAGCGATAGAGAATGCTGATATATAAGATGGCAAATTTAACTTAGCTTCCTTGAAATTGATATCGTTTTGTTTCTCATCTTCAATTCTATCTAATTTTTCGAAGTTCAACTTAACGAAAACCTGTTTTAGATTATGTTTTATGTGTTGGTTTGTATTTTCAATGCAAATAAAATTAGTGAACGTGCAGCAAGAAACTGTTGTTAAAGCAAACGTACTAGTCATGTTGAAAGGAGGATAGTTGCTTATTAGTGTTTCATGTGCTTTCGCTTCTCGAAGTTAAAATTTATCATCATAAGTCTTAAAAAATATTTTCAGAATGATTATGACTACTATTCATCAGTCGTTCAAATGAAACAGATGCCAATTATAGTTTTTTTTTGTGCACTATTCTCTATGAAATCGTTCGGTATTCAAGAGAAATATTATTGAAAAGTTGGTTTTCAAGGCAAAAGAAGACGTCATGTATGTATTCATTAGAAATTCATAGTCAAGACAAAGAGAAACTATATGTACCAGAAGAAAAGGATCTTTATTCTGAAATATCCACTCAAGTGCGATAAATTTACTTTTGATCTCTTTCAAAAACAATAAGATTTACTACAAACATGTTAAACAATATGTTTATTGAATAGAATATTTATTTTTCTTGAAAAAAATTTTTGCTTAAAGATATTTTATAAAAACCTATCGTTGGACAATGTTGAAACTTGCTCGGCTTAATTATGTACGTTGATTTTTTTTCTCTTGATTGTTTGATGTTTCGCTAATTTAGGCTGATTTACTCTCGATTTCAAAGAAATTTTCCAGTCTTTTGTTTAACTTCTTGGACTTAAAAAGTGATGCAGGTTTTATTAACGATCTTAGACGAAAACAGCATTTTTCTTGATTTTGAATCACTGAGAAAAACTCCTTGATTCTTTGATTATGATCTTCACATGCCATAAACCATCACTGGCTAATAAAAGGAAATAAGAAAATGGCTTATGGAATGAATAGTATTCAAAATAGAGTTAATGATATTTGTTGACTTGCACAGCATAAAAAGCCAAGCTTTTCTTACTACGTATGTAAAAAAAAAAAAAAGGTAGAAAACATTACATGAGAGAAATAAACTCGTGACCACAGTAGAAAATCTGAGGTCTTCTATTGTGTCTAATATATTACCCCTTCAAAAGAGATTTTCTTCTGCAAGAAGTTTCGTTGATTCTGATGATCAGAACCATTGAAATCGCGATATTATCAGAATTTTTCAATACTCTTTCTGACGGAAACATATGTCTCATAAAAAAAAACAGAAAATTTCATAAATCTTCACTATTCTTACGTAATGTCTATCATATATATTCCTCAACTTTTTTTTCTGTTGACCTATTATACGTGTAACAGTAGAGTATATTTTATTGTTAGTCTTTTAATTGTAGTATTAAATTTGTATATATTTGGTAAGTCTTTTTTTTTGTTGTAAGTTCCTAACAGTTCAATATATGAGGGACTACTAGGATTTATGTTTTTGGATTCTATTGGATTTATTTAAACCTTCCAGTCTTGACTTCACTATTTCGTAAAAAACTAAAATTTTGGAAGTTGCTGAGATAGCATTAATAAATCTTTCTCTTTAGTTGACTATAAAATCAAGAGTGTAGAGTATTGTTGGATATGATATGTCTAAAGTAAATTTACTTTTTCAATCGTAAAGTAACTCATTGAATTAACTTTATCTAATGAGCATCCTTTAGAATTTGAAAAGAAAAAGATACGAATTAAACAAAACTATTCGGCAAGTATTTGTCTAAAAGTTGTATCTACATACAGAAATGATGAACTGTATTGCAACATATTGAAAAGTTATCATCTAAGGAAAACTCAGTATTTATTCTATATAGGAAATAAGTTCTCCAACATGCAGATATCACCATTCGTAGACATAAACACTGATATTTTCGGTGTTTAATTTTGAAATAATTAATAATTAATGTATATTTGTATATTAGAATAGTCAAAATATGGCATCAGATAGTGATTATGATATTTCTGATTATAATTCAGGTCAAGATCCTTTCGAAATCGATTATTAAATTGATCTATTTGAATTTCGTCAATGTTTTAAATCAAAAAAGAAACAAACAAAAATTTTAAAAAAATCTTCGTGTCCAATCTCATTAAAAATCCTTCAATCTCAACTGACATTAGTGAAGTTTAATTGTATGAACGACAAAATAATACGTAAAGCTAAACCAAAAACATTTCGTTATGATCGTTTTTCATGAACGTTAAAGATTTTCGAACGTGATGAAAAATTTCACGAAAGATCAACACAACCCACATGTATTTAATCAAATGTACCTTTGAATAGCTCGATAACACTTGAAATTGAATATTTACAAAATTTTTCAAATTTTCATCGTTATTTCTATCATGTTAATCATCAAAGAATAAAATCTTCTCTTCAAGACTAGTCCAACATCGATATTACTAATATTCGTCTTGCATCAATAAACGAATCTGTTCAAAATGATTTTATGAAAAGACTGAATAATAATACTTCTTCTTTTCCACAATTAGTTTATCATGGTACAAGACTAAAGAATATTGAAAGTATCCTTCGTTATAAGTTTTTAATACCAAATCAAGGACATCTATTCAATAACGAAGCACCTATCATTGCTTTAACAAATGGTCGATCATTTGAGACTGGGATTTATTCAAGTCATTCAGCAGTTTATTTATGATCATATGTTGATGCTACGCATACTCTTTTAGTATGTGCTACATTACCAAAACGTAACAAAGCTGGACAAATTAAACGTTCTCATAGAAATATATTAGTTTTATCTCATATATCACAAATTATACCATTATTTTTAATTAATTTTAAATATTCGAATGGGTCACCTACGAATTATCCTTGCTTTAATGATGAAAAACAATCTACAACAGACAAAAACAATGAAATAAAAAAAAATCTGTTATTATTTCAAGAAAATATTTACGAAAACTATTAAATTATATGAATGATGAAGTATGAAAGAATAACTGATATCAAGTGCGATCATTCGAATTCTTTAACTAGTGTAATTTTTATTAGTTAAAATAAAAATAATAAAAATGAAATTGACCAATAATAGTCTCAAACAAATATTATCGAATATTAGCCACTGATTTCAATGATTAAATAATAAAATTCTTACATTTTCAAATTTAATTAAAAGAAGAAAAACACAGATATGAACAAATATTTGAGTGTTTATCAAATGTGTCAGGAAAAATATGTTATATTCAATATTCATCCAATAAATTTTACATAGTTTTAATACAATATGATTTTAAGTAGTTTATTTAACTTTTTTCATTGACAAACATCAACATTTATACATTATTTCACTTGTTTTGAAAAATAACTTTTTTAACAAAGAAAAGTACTAACAGTTATATTTGCACATCAACAAAGCAATGAGAAGAGCAACAATAAAATAACGGCATAACATTTTTTTTTTGTGTATTGTTTCTCTTTTACGTTCTTCTCCTCGATATTCTCATTTTTGCTCCAACTTATGATAACCCAACAGAACAATGGGTTCTCAAAATTAGAAAATGTTCTCTTTGAAGCTACGCTCCAGAAATCGATGTATTCCTCGTCGTTAGTGTAATATTCGTGAGCGTAAGCAAATAGTTTAAATGTTTACGTAGAAGAACTTCGAGTCTGAATGACTTTCTGCTAAAGAACTAAACTTAGTATGAACTGTAGGAATATATATGTTGGAATTAAGAAACTATTTCAAATGTCATGATATAGTGTAAAATAATCAAAAAATAAAGTATTCTTCATGAGCACTTCCGTGAGATGCTTTGTATATTTTTTTATTTGGAGATCAAATAAAGAAATTCTTTATTAGGTTAAGATGAATCAGAAGTGAAATCTAAAAATTTTTCAATAATATTAAAAAATCAATACATAAAGTTTTCATTTGTGTTAAACGATAGAATCAAGCAGAAAGTTTCTCATCTAAATCATCAAGACGACGTGATTTGAGTTGAATAATGACTTGATAATGGTTCATTTCGTCAGTTAGACTCTGATTCTGATGATACTGTTGTCGTTGACGTTGCTGAATATGTAATATATGAAGAAAACATATTTTAATTTGTTGAATAAATCGACGAATTTCATTTCGAAATGCTTTACCCGATAAACAATAGATGTAAAAATTTAATGAAGAATTAATTAATATTGATAATGAACTCCACCATGTTTCATGTGCTTGAACATCAAAAATATGTCCAGCAACATGTGATAAAAGTGATACAAGAAAGAGAAATGAATGAAGAAGTAGAATTTTAGTTAACCATGATGTTGTTCGTAATTGTTTTTTATTTCGTTGACGACCATCCATTTTACGTAAGTGTTGCCATGTTCGAACAACATGATAAATTATATAACTATTAAATAGAATAACAGCTGCAGTTGGAATTAATTCTGAGAAAAGACAACGTATGGTAAAATGATTTATACCAAAATGAAGTTCATGAAAATAATTTTTCCATTTAATAGATGCTTTTGAACTCACATCACAGTATGTCTTGTTCATGTGTGTATTTGTATTCATTATTCTTTCTTTACTAAAATAATATGTGAATTAAAGAGTAAATTTTTTTCTTAGTAGTAGATAATCAAAAAGTTTTTAGAAAACATGTTTGTTCACTTTGGTCTATTATTGTTCTAGAGTAGTAAGAGATATTTTGAAAGACTTGAAAAATTATTTTTTCTTATGAGCTAACAAGTTTTTATTTACTCTATCAGTTTGTTAAACTTCGATTTAGAAAGGAATAACATTTGATTTTAATTTTTTTTTTCAGAAAACTTCATGTCATAGAAAACATTTAATGCTTACGTACTCAAGTATATGTGGTTCAAACATATAAAGAGGAGGTCCAATAATACAACCAAGAATCAGAATAATGATACTAATTGGTATAATAAACTTTAGTGTAAATGTATTCCATCGATAGAAAAATGTTTGTAATCTTGTTGAAACACATAATAAACGTTCAAACATCCAGAATAATGTTATCCATGATGAAACAATTCGAAAAGAAAATGAAAATTCATAAATTTTACAAGCCCACCATTTTTCTCCAACATATTCATATAGAATATTTCGGAATTTTGAATGTAGAATTAAACTATATCGTATAACACATAAAAGATTTGTTATTGAACTAGCAGTTGCTAAATAAACATAGATTGATGATATTCGCCAAGTTCGACGACATGAAGAAAATATAAAAAGTCCCAATAAATTTCCAATAAGTCCCATAATAACTAATACCCAACATAAACTATCAATTATTCGTGTCTGCAAAGTAGAAGAATCGACTTTGTAAAAAAGCAAAGATCCTTGTTCAATATTTAACATTGTAATTCAGTTGATCTGAAATCTTATAAAACACATGGAAGTATGAATAGTATTTTTATATCCAAACTTTTTCATTGGCAATATTTAATATTAGATATCTAGTTCAATAAATAGATGTATATAATGTACTGTTTACTTACTTTTCTTATGAAAAAGTTTCTAAATCTTATTCAGCAATTATTATTATAAAAGCTCAAGGATAAAATTTGTCTCTATGAGATATAATTGATGAAAGGTAAATGCTTAACAAAATAATCCTCTAGGGCTGTTTTATTATAGACACATATAATCTTCTTCTTCCTTTGTGTCTGCATTTTCTAGAAAAAAAAGTACTCAAATCCTTTTCTTCATTCTTTCATTGTAATATCAAGCATTTTTATTATTCTTTTCTATCGTTTGGATCTCTCTTGTTGGAGTTTTATGCGATTTCGAATATGACAAAACAACATAATCAAAGAATAATATGATTTTCGATACATTCGTATTCTTCAATACGAATAGAAACAATCCAATGATCATAGTAAAAACACGAGATTTAAGATTCTTTCAAATAGAATATGCAGCTTTCTCTTATATTTTTAGATGTGCTGTATCTGGAGTTAAAATGAAAAATTTACCTAAACAGACATAAAATCTTGAAAAAATTCCTCTGCTATCAACATAAAGAAAAAGGCGACTTCTCTTTTTTCACTCACACGTTCGAATACAGCGAAAAAACAATCGATTTACTTAACATACAAAACACTCATTTACGAAAAAAAGCATTTACTAATTGGCAGTTAATAGAAACAGTTCTTACTTTTCCCAACAGCCATTGACGTCTTCAAATTCCTGCAAACTTGAAACATCTACCTTAACACATATTGCCCACATACTAGTAGATACTGTGCATTTCTATATTTTCATCTTTCATTAATGTTGTTATTTGAGGGCTTTCCTGAAGTTGATAATCTTCTCTTTATAGGATATCTTCGAGTGTTGAATTCTTAATTATACTAAAAAAGACTTTATTATTATATGAAAGTTCAACCAGTAATGCATTTTTACACTATATATCTTTTTTCACAATAATACTTACACATATGAGGATATTTTCTTTAAAAAAACGATCGATAAGAGCAAGCGATATAGGCTAATTTATTTCACTGTAGATTATTTTTGTTCTTATATTGTACAATAAACCTCAAAGAACGATTTTCTTATTCATTACGCAAATATTATTTTTTCTTGACCTCATTTCGTCTATAATGGATCGAACAACATTTGTCGTTCATAGAAATTAAAAAACAAAGAGAATTTTTTTAGAATAAACTATCATTAACATTTCTTTTAAATTTACTCATATGCGTGGATAGGCATGTCATTATAAACAATTTCTATCTTAGATAATAAGATTATGTCATAATATTCGATGTCATTTATCTACTTACGGCTCCTTAACATGGCAAACCATTTATTGTCATTGATTTGTTTATATAAAACAACAATTGCTTAAAAATAATGTAAATGTTCTATCATTTGTATTTTTCACTCAACAAAAAAGTCATTGTAATTATTAACAAGATTGTTACGTTTCTTTTTAATGTAACAAATTCTCATTATAAAGACTTTCTAATGAGCTAAAAATATATATCGTCTTAATGTTCAAGGTAATAGAATAC